CCGTAGTATCGTTTTTGAAGCGGGAAGCTCAAAAAACCGCAAATTTCTTACGCAGATTATGAAGTTATGAGTGCATTTCAGAGTTTGCCGATGCGCTCATCGTGATTTTTGAGGCATTATCTATAAGAAACAACTCTTAGTTTTGCTCTAGCAAAAGTTTGCAACACGCCCATTGACTCAATCCACTGTGTGCCAGCCGCAAGAGTAGTTGCACCAACTACAAGTGTAAAGGCACCAGCCAGCGGTATAGTTAACCCAACCACACTTATGCTGACTGCAAGGTCACCAGCCAGAGATATAATTGATTCAACCATACTTTCAGCTGACTTAAGCATACCTCTGGCTTGTGCAACTACTTTAATATCTGGCGCCAAAATCAGCTAGGAGTATAGTTGGGATTGTGATATTTTTTTCCGTGCAGCATGGTCTCCTCCATCTTGATTTGGTCGTATGCTAAAAAGAACCAGAAACGAGTGGAAAAGGGAGAGTGTGCTTGTTAGTTGAGGGCCTTTAAAATGAATGGGAATTTTAAAACGCCAGTGACGTCCATTGGCGTATCCAGCAATTTTGCAATACCGGATTTCCTCCATTTAAACCTATGGAAATGTATCGATTCTTGGGGGGCCAGGCGCTCCGACAAGATTCGATTATTCAGCATAGGTTTAAATGGAGGAAATCCGGTGTTGCCGAATTGCTGGATCCGCCTCTGGTGACGTCAGCGGCGACGTCGGAGACGACAATCCGCGGATCTAAGCCTTTAATTCAGGAGCCCTGTCCTCAACGCTCTTTGCGTATGCCAACGGCACTTAGCATATTTTGCCGCTTAATTCCATTTGATTTAATGTTAAATCCCATTTGTCTATTTTCCCCAAAAAATCACGTCCAGTTTTACATTGGTTCTTATGCAGCTTGCACGAGCAAAGAGCATACCCCATCTTTCTCACATCTATCTGGATCTTTTTACAATAAATATGTCCATTTCACCTGTAAAAATTTGTCACCACCATCCAAACTCTGAGCCTAATGACGATCTTGTTTCGTGTCCGTGAGGAGATATTGTTCTTGAGAAGTTTATCGTAAGAAGTTCTGATGAAATTTTTAACTTGCCGTGTCAGTGGGCGATGCGATCTGTTACTATTTAGTCGTCATCCCAATTTACTACTTGTTCTTGGTCAACGATGGGTATCTCTGGACCCCAAAGGTCCTCTGTTGTAGGTACAAATATCCACCTCGTAGTGAAAAAGTTAACCGCATAAGGATCGCCTAGGTTGTACTTCTTGGCCAATTTTTTCGTTGAAAAGTGGTACCGACAGTCCAGATCACCCCTATTATTAGATCAAATATACACATAATCAATATTACATTATTATACATGATAGGCAATGTATGGACGCATCCCATCTGAATGAACGTATCATATATTATCAAATTACAAAGTTTCTCACCATATTCAACTCTTTTTGCCGTCCAAATATATCATATCTGTTCTAATATGACTTCTGATGTGCCTACTTCACCGAGCGTTTGCGATTTAAACGAGGCGGCTCGGTGATAGGCTAAAATGTTCCGCTCTAAATGACCAATGTCCACATTGTCCAATAGGAAATTTCTCTAGCAATGTGATACGCTTTTCAGTGTCCAATGCACGATAATTTGTCCATTAGAAATAAATATTCAGCTTGAAAATGGTCCACTGTTAAGAAATGACCTTTATAAGAGTGCTCCACTCAACAAATAGTGCAGCGTGAATATAGTATCGCTCACGGTTTTCATTTTGCTTGACTATTGTCATTCAACCTTCTGCTATATTGCTTTTTCCAATTTTGAACCGAGTTTAAGAGAAAGGAGAACCAATCCATATAAAGTTGAAACTGAGAAAAAGAGATCAGAAGTTTTATTTCTCCATAAGGCTCAATGTATAAAATGAACTTTAACTCCTCTTAACACACAGGCTAATTTTTTTATTTCTCGACTTTTAGTTTTTGGCAGGGGAAGAAATACGACTAGTGGAACTCAAAAAAATTATTGACTCAATTTTTTCGAATATGTGGGTTGGTTTCCTTTCTGATGAACTTGGTCCAATTAAGAATTGAACACTACAAAATCAGAAAAAATTGAGAGATGAAATAATCAGCTTACAAATCATTATAGTCGTTCGTTTCGTTGAACTTGATCACGCCATTCGGTTGTTTGAACAAAATGAAGACGATCCTGTGTAGACCTGAAAATCCGTCATTAAAGTGCATGGAATAAAAGTTCCAAAATTATCAAAATGTTATCAGTGATCATTCCAGGACGACCTAATCTCTCGCCCCACAATTCATTTGTTTTCTACATCATTAAATTGATGCATTTCTCTGTCTCCTAAACGTGTTCACAACAAAGCTGATGGAATTCTTCGACTTAAAACTTGATCACAAGTCCTCCGTGAAAGCACATGCCATTTCCAGCATACTTTTGTCCATAAGATCGATACTTCTGATAGTATTTTGATGAATTTTAGCATTATGAAAATATTTTTAGTCATGAAAGAGCACAGCATGTTATGCATTCATCAAAATGGACCCCCCCCCCTCCCTAATTATTTGCATCCAAAGAGTCGAACTCTACACTTGTTCATTGGTTCAGAGATCCCTTCGTGAAATTTATTTACATTTAAGGGGCTTGGGGGACAAGGCGCATGCGTATAAGAATAGGTAGTTTTTGAAAAAATTATGCATTAATGATTTCAACCAAAACTAGTTTTTTCGTTTTCGTTCATTTTGGTCAATGTTTTTAATGACTGATTTTTCACACTGACCTGTGTCCTCCTCCGGATCCGGTTGTAAATATTTTGCAATATGTTTAGCTGTCAAAATAAAAATTCCTCTGATATTCCCAACCAGCCACAGTAGTTCTTCCTTTTTCTTTGGATTCTTTGCCGATGGTACATCTGGATCTGATTCAAATGACGTAAAATACGTCAGACATAATATTCCCTTAATCTAAAGCTTATGATATAACGTTCCAATAAATTTACTTTAATTTTTTATCTTCATTGTCAGAAGAAAGATGACTAGCGCATATTTTTTAACGCAACCATGCAGAAAACTTGGATTTAGGTTGGAAAACTTTCTCCTAAAACTTTTAATTCAAAAGAGCGAATTTTGAATATTAATAACTGCACATATGAATAGCTTGATTATTGTATATCTGTTAAAATTATTTATCAAAATGATAAATTTAGAAAATCACACCATGTTATACGGGTATTGTATAATTTTGATAATTACAAAAATGATTACTGGAGATTTTTTTATTTTTTTATTTATTTATTTATTTTTTTTTTTTTGTAAAAATGTTTACACGTAAATTCAGGAACTGAAGGTTGAAATTTTTGGTGTGTAATAACAGATCCACTTGATTTTTCCATGCAAAGTCATCTTATGGTTCATTGAGGCAAAATGAACTTCATCTTTTAGCTTTCTCTTTTCACTTATGTTGCTACAATTATCAGAAACATTCTAAAACTAAGGAGCTGATATTATAACCCATTGGTATACCCTCACCTATCATAATCAAAGTGTAGTATGTTTGAAGCTCACAGGGCCATTTAACTCTATAGGGCTCAAACTCAAGTTTATGGGCTTCAAGTTCGTTCCCGTAATTGACCGTCTTATTTTCCACGTATCGTACCTGAAATGAGTCAAAAATGTATTTTTTAGTATGTGTGAAAATTAAATCGCAGAGCCGCATGTACGTGGAAAATTTTGATTATATAATCAAGCAAGTCATCCGAAATTCTCAACTAAAATATCAACGTATAAAATTCGCCGGTTACAGTGAGAAACCACATATCTCCCTCTGTGGCGTTGCAAAATTCTTGCATTTAAACTATTTTTTTTTTATTTTTTTTTAAACAGCTAACGTAATTTCTTGAAAACTTCCGTGATGTATCTTCTCTGGTTGCACAATATTCTGTAAAAATTCAAGCTACAAAAATGTCTTGTTTCTCTTCGAAAAGATAAAATCGGATCCGAAATTTTGGAACATTGCAGAGATGATACGCGATTGTCCATTTTGGTCATCCGTATATGGATATATATTCATGAATGTATTTTGTAAGTGTATGTAAGTGCCATTTAAGTGTTGGAGTGGTAATCCAATCAGTGAAAATATATCGCGATAAAGCCTCAAACAATTGGAGGTTAAAATTAATCTAGAGGTCCATGTCTGTACCTAATATCAGCACATTTGTTGAGTAGAAGAAACTTCTCTTGAAGCCCTTAAAAACAGATTTAATTTAAAAATGACCTCTGCGGGACAGTGGACCGAATTTGATAAGCCTCTATCAAAAAGTATTCGAGATGTTCAGCTTTTCCAGCGACAAAGAAGACAAAAATTCCTAAAAGCTCTTAAAATTGTGGTTTACTCTTTGACAATTACTTTATGTGAGATATACCTTGAGGCGCGTGATGTGAAAATAACGATCGAGTTGCATCATTACTTTTTCAACCACTTTCATTCCAAAAGTTTTATAATCAATAAATTTTCTATTATTTGTAAGAAACGATCCGATCCATACTTAAAGAAAGCTAAATTGGACCATTCAAAAGTCATACCTGAAGGGGATGTTCCGGCATTTTCTTTATCACATCAGGGATGATTCGAGACTTCGTGAGCGCTGATTTCCTCTCCTCATAGGTTAAGTTACACTCGACTGCAGTCAGTCCAGTCACTGTTTCCGCAATTAAGAACGGTAACAAAAGCAAAAAGTTTACTACCATATTCACACTGAGCTTTCTAACCCGTAGTTTCCACATCAACTTTGGAAATTACCACGTGATGACGCTGAAGATGATTTTTCCCATGAAAAAAAATAATACAAAAATATAAAAAGTAACATGCGCAAGTAGTCTCTAAAAATGTTGAACACTTCCCCTATAGTTGAACAAAATTTTTAGTTTCTTAGCGTTGCGGTTGTTCTTAGCTGGTCACCCTTCTTTTCAATCAGATAAAAGCGACCCGATAATTTATTGATAAGAATTTAAAGCTTTATGACTTAAGCCGAGGGAGGGCTTCATCCTATCACTGGCTGTGGTGCTACATCAAAAATTTCCCCAATCGGAGAAAAACCATAAAAATACATACTGTCAACTCAGCTCATTGAGCACTCTCAGATGCAGCAATAAAATTTCTCCGTTGAATTATGAGTTCCCGAGGTATAAGGTATCTTTCCTCACTTTGCCATGCTAAAAAAAAAACACCGTATGTACTTTCAGATGTTGCCAAATTTCTTTCGACAAAATATTTATTTTTGAGGAAAGTTATGAATATTTCTCCTGGAAATTTGCAGATACTTCACATCAAATTACGAATACAGTTATCCGAATACTTTGAAGAAAAATATTCACATATTTCCTTTAACTTTCGTCTTTAATTGGAGGAGATCTGGCGACGTCTAAGGGCTCATACTGCACTCTTCCTTAGCATGTCAGCATTGACGGTCACACATCGAGATCATACCATTTATTGTCAGTTTCAATCGGATTTTGTGATCAGCCTATTGTTTAAAGCTCTCAGTCAGGTCGAAAGCTCCGAATTCAGCGACATTTCTTTCGACAACATATTTATTTTTGAGGAAAGTTATGAATATTTCTCCCTGAAATTTTCAGATACTTCAGATCGCATTGAGAATATAACTATCCGGAAACTTTGAAGAAAATTATTCACATGTTTCCGTTAAATTTCGTATTTTATTAGAGGAAATCTGGCAACGTCTGAAGGCTCATACTGCATTCTTCCTCAGCACGTCAGCAATGATGGTCAGACTTCAAGCTCATTCCCTTTAAAATCAATCGGGTTTTGTGATCAGCCTATTGTTCAAAGCTCTCATCCACGCCGAAAGCTCCGAATTCTGCAGAACAACTTGTCCTCCTCTGCAGTAGCTGACCCCCGGTACGACCTGCCCCTGGAGCACCCCAGGCTGCGACCGGTAGCTCCTTGTTTACTCACCCCGGCTCGCCTCTTCCGCCTCCCTTACAGCTCCCTCTAATTAAATTTATCCTCTAATTAATTGTTTATTAATTTGCCAAATTGTCGTGGACAAACAAGAGAGCGGCTCAATAGAAACTCTTGTTCCCAATAATGCTCCCATTGACGTCAAGTACCCAGAGCGTGGTTGTCGAATCGACACCATAGTCGGAGGTTTTTCGTCATGTTGATGGTAGAATTAGAAATACTGGGGATCCTCTTCCCGACCACTATGCGGCTCGAATTCTGACAAGGGTTTCGATGTCCTGGAGGGTGGCTTTGTGGCAAAAAAAATGAAGAGGAAAAAACTGGGATCATACTTTAAAAATTTGAAGACTGTGGGCACGCAGATCCATAGATTATTAATGTAAGAAGGGGCGTTATAAATAGCTGGAATGTTGCCGGCAATTTTGCACAATTAATATTCTAAATGAGGCATATACACTAAAAATGAAAAGTGAGTGCCCCCGACCTGGCTATAACCTTAGTCGACGCTGAGCACCAATAAAATTACTATTATACACAAACCACTTGGTGCTGAAGACCAACTGTTACTATACCACAATACATACTATCCTATACTCTAGCCTATAGATACCTTCTACGTGCACCACAGCGATTGGGGTACACACGTAGCTGGTTTAACCGGGTCAAAATCAGGCATATCCGTGATGCTGAACACGAAGTTTTCTTTCTTTTTCTTTTCTCTTTTTTTTAGCAGACAACGGTGGCTTTTTAGGTGACATTTGAATATATTTATGCCAAAAGGAACTATATGTCTCACGCAAACCCTATGCACATAGTTCCTTTCAGCATAAATAGGTCCAGTTTATTATCTTCGGACCTGAAATATACACTCATAACGCACTGCTACATGCTGGTCACTACCAATGGACCACTAGACAAGGTACGAATTTCAGCATTCTGAAACATGTTTCGTAACGAAAATTTCACGTAGAACACGATGCGCACAACAAAAATTACCGCAATTAATTCCTTACGAAGATATTTAATGATTCCTGATGCGTGAATTCAAACCACCCGCTCATGAAAACTCAATGCTCTACGTGATTCACATCGCGCGCTAAACGTTATCATGACAGTATCTGCGATATAAAAATCTAGCAACCTCAATCTTGACGCTTTGACTCAGCTTTAGCAAATTGCTCATAGTTTGAACAACACACGGTGGGAAATGAACATTGCTCATTTGAGAAGCTTGCTGAAACCGTTGTAGTGCGCGATTTGACTCAAGTAGAGCTTTGAGTTTCTTGTGAGCGGACAGCTCAAATTCCTCGTAACCAATGTGAAATTAAAACGTTAATATCTTCGTTAGGAGTTGGTTTCAGTAATTTTCGTTGTGAGAATCGTGTTTTACGTGAAGTTCTGGTTAAGAATCATGTATCAGATCGCTTAAATTCGTACCTTGTCTAGTGGTCCATTTGAAGCGATTTCGAAGCTACAGGAAAAGAAAAACGGCAATTTATGCACGAATTACAAAATTAATATGCATGTATTCGTCAAGAGGAAAAAATAATTTTTCAGGTGGGCATTAAAATGCATGATGATACCAGCATCACAGGGCTCATCCGTAAATAGATGTGTCCCTGTCGAATTCCCATGGCTCATTGGAACAACAAGCCGGTTTTAACCCTATTCCTGGCGCTCGGTTGCCTTTTTGAACAATTATTCGACCCAAAAAGCCCCAAATCTGAGCCGATATAAAATGAAAAAATCGCCGGCGTGACTCTCGTGGAAGTCTAAATGAGAATCTCTAATTACCCCAGAGGCTCCGATTTAAAAATAATTTGACCTCCAGATTTAATTGCCTCCATCATTTTTTTTGTCATATGGCTTTTCCTGTCACGAGATTTGCGCGTGTCGACTTAACTCGGAAGGATGAAAAAGATATGACCCCTTTGGGCACTCTTTATTTTGGAATGCTCATAGAACACACCCTTTTATTGTGATATCAATAACGAAAATTTAAGTTTCTGTTGGACGGTCACAAATCGATGGCGGAACTGCAAAAATACGCATCTCGGTTGCAGTGTTTCAAAATTCCCACTCATACTATATTTTTTTAAAAAAAGACTTAACTAACAGTATACATAACAGAAACTTGAAATTTTCACAGAATATTCATTACACTACAGTAAAAATTACTTTAAGTTTTTAAGGAAAGTTCCTAAAGTTTTTAAGAAATGACGTTTGGTAGTTTCCTGCGTAGGAAATAAAGTAAAACAGGAAGTCTGCAACTCCGTAAACCGAGATATGCGCATTTCCGCAATTTCACCATCGAAATGGGGTCTTAGCACGAATCAACTTCATGCCTTAATTCATCTGAAAGAGCCTACCAAGCTGCTTACGCGGTATTTTTTTCCTATATTTTTTTCTAATTTCAAAAATTGTAGAAAAATAAGAGTAAAAGACGCTTTGTGACATTACCCTCTTTAGACACATGTATTTCAGTAGATTAGGTCATTTTGTCATATCTCCGATAATAATTGTTCAACTTAGAAGGTTATAGGACATTTCGTCAACGATTTTTTATCCGCGCACCTGTTTTTTTCAAGTAATTTACGTCCACGCGTTTTTTCGGCCCGGGAGTTCTGGTCCACGTGCCAATTATTAAGACCCATAGTTAATTGGCCCACATGTAAATACAAACGACAATTTATTGCTCACGACGTTTTTGGATGAAAATATATAATGTCTTGGAAGAATGAGGGTTTGCTTGGCTTTTTGTTTTGTCTGTTTGGTCCAACGGAGAATAATATATAGTTGAGAGTTTTGGTGAAAAATGGGGTCAATTCCATGAGACAAAATTCACTAAAACTCTCTACACCTCTTTGGTGTAACAGGACTTAATTATCTTTCAAGAAATTCCCACCTTGTTATACCTGAACCGGAGAAACCTCTATATTTGCCTCAACTAAAGGCTCTTAGATTTTTCCTGTGTACGACAAGTATCTTTATTTATTTTGCGAGGAAAGATCTGTACTTTTAGAGGATGCCTGTCACTCTTTATAGGTTCAATTTCGTATAATACTGTGCAAAACCTCTGTTGTGAAATAGTTGCTTCAGGCGCCGATCTTATCGATCTTATCAATTTAAATGGGAATAATCAATGCAGAGTGTGCTAACATGTTAAAAGCATGAGTTAAAAAACGCTGACTTTGCGAGTATAAATATTAAAACCTAACAGCGGAGCGGCGTGCTGCCAGCGCGAGAGGCTCACTGGCGCCTACAAACCTAAGTGGATACTT